AGCCATAAACTAATTTTATTAACTTATAAATAACATTTAAATCTATATATTTTATAATCTGGTATGTTACTTCGAACGTGAAATGTACAAAATAATACAAAAGATGGTTTTCCCATACAACGCCACATGTGCATAGGAACTAGTATGGAAAAGCCATTTTTTTTAATTGTTTTACTGTTTAAGGTTTTTTTGGAGGAAGTTATTCCATTTCACGTTAACCTAGGTTACATTACAGATTTTGCGCAATGTCTCTTAAATAACCCTTTACTTATAATACAAAAAGTTATTTTTCATCCCCCAATCTCGGAAAGAGTATTTTTACTCTTCGATATCTGAGTGCAAAAGCCGTTTTTATTCGCTAGAGGATAAAGTAAATTTAATTTAGAACATCGTGTGCACTAAGTTTGTGAATTCAAAACATCACTAAATCTATTTACTTCTTCTCTTATTTTCATACTTATTCATCTTTCTACCTTTATGGTACTGAATTTATCATATCGTTAAAAACTCAGTGGAACCATCTTGGTGTACTTTTTTGAATTTGCTTTGCACGCACCCTTTTCTTTTCACAATATATTGTTAAAACCTAAGGTTAAAAACAAAAAACTTGAAAACAAGTGAAGATCCTAAAATTAGTGATTCAAGCGACGAAGAAGTTTATTTGACGCCAACAGAATTGACTGAAACTGTAAATAATGCGCAAATGAGCTTTGTCCCTCAACAATCACCGAGAAGTATTTGAAACAGTACGATATGTTTAATACGTGGCGACTAGCTAAAGAAGCTAAAACTTTCTCAGAAAACGTTTTGCTGGCATATTTTATTGAATTATCAGAGGACAAGAAATCAAGCACTCTACGGCGTACGTATTCAATGCTAAAAGCAACAATCTGATAAAAACACAAAGCAAAACACAAATCACGCTAAGGGCTTGTTTATTATAGATTTTGTGCATATCTTAATAATAAGCGACTCTTTTTTTTCTTTCTTTATGCTTCAAAATTTTCGCTACCATCACAGAAAATAATGTTATGCTTCAGTTTGATAGGTGTTAGTTTATTAATTACATCTAGTTTCCGATCTGTTTATATTTTTTTGGGTAGCGAACGCAATGTTTTTCCTAACTGTGGATTTTTGAAGTGAAACTTCTTTATCGGCGCTGGAAAAAAATTTACCGTCACATTTTTCGGACGTTACTCGTCACATTTTTCCGTTACGCGCCATCTTTTTTTATATTAATAGTTGATAGCTGAATGATCACACTGTCGCCGGCGAGAACTCTCTCTACTCGTTTGTAGCTGAGTGACAATAGTTATTAAAGATAAGACTCGCTCAGCCAAACTCGCATAGCGATACTCGCTCAGCGTTTTAGCTCAGCGATACTCGCTCAGCAATACTCGCTCAGCCAAACTCGCATAGCGATACTCGCTCAGCGATACTCGCTCAGCGATACTCGCTCAGCGATACTCGCTCAGCGATACTCGCTCAGCGGTACTCGCTCAGCGATACTCGCTCAGCGATACTCGCTCAGCGATTCTCGCTCAGCGATACTATCTCAGCTATACTCGCTCAGCTATACTCGCTCGGTTAAGCTGGCTTGGCTGTCAAAAGCCGTGCGTGTGCATTTTAACTCAGGACTGCCAATTCGTTTCTAGTTTCTACTCGCTTATCGTTCATCGTCGGAGGTGGAACATGTGCCTTAGATTACTGAGCCGTGTAATCATAACAGTTTCATAGGCAGTAATTTGTATTCATGTCTATGATAAGAAAATCCTTTTGTTTAAACTTTATCTAATTTAACTTTATTTAACCAATTTCTGGAAAGTTGCATGTAGATCATTTTTCGAAAAATAAGGCCATAAAGAAGTTTCACTTCTTACGTGTGTACACTAGTACACGCACACATTTTTTATTTTTTACTTTTTCATCTCCGCACACTCTGCAAGGAATGATGCGCGAGCAAAGGAAAACGGGATTACGTTTATGAAGGATGGCAATTTTTTTTATCAATATTCATAGTAATAGCACGTCACGTTTTTACGTCACACGACTGTTATTAAAACGTCTAACGATACAATGTAATGTCACTTTAACCGGAAGTTTACTTGCGTGTGACGTCCAATCCCAAGCGTTTTGGGTCATGTGACAATAGATAAGAAAACTATTATCATTTTCGTGGGTTTTTAGTAAAATTATGATTTTTTATTTGTAAAAATAGTAATAAACCCCTGCCAATATTCATTCTAAACACAGATGCGTCATTTACGTCATTATTTACGACATTTTTTTAGGCAGGGCAAGGTTTTGTCATTAATGAACGAACTGCTACTGCTAGAAAACAGGTGTGAAGTTATGCACATATTAAAGTACTTACTAAGTTCAGTACCAACGTTTTTATTTTGAAACTTTGCGAATGCTAACTTGCAAGTCATCGCATTGGCTACAATTTATAAGCTTTTTTTCGTTATGGAATGTTAATATAGAATACTGCCGCCCTTTACAAAGAAACCCTGTTAACCCTCAAATGTTCGATTTTGAGTTTTGAATGCAAAGTAATAGAGTTTTAAATTCTCTATCTAGAAAGATAGAGAATTTAAAACTCTATTACTATTATTACTATTGGTACTGAACTTAGTAAGTACTTTAATATGTGCATAACTTCACACCTGGTTTCTAGCAGTGGCAGTTCGTTCATAATGAAAAATAAATTCTTAGAAAAGAACCCTTGCGCTACCACTTATAGTTTAAGTAATATTACAACGTTATGTCCCGTTAAATGACAAAAATTCCATCAAATCCTTGGCTAATGAGTGACTATACCACAATGCTTAGCTTGAAGCACGTTAAAGAAACTGAGCTTTGAAATGAATCGAATATTTATTTAATATTTAATTAGCCTAAACTACGTTATGTGACTATTCTTGGCTACAAAACCGCTAAGTGAGTATAACGCATTTATAGTTAAGGCTCAATATAATAACAAATATGCAATACTATATGTACAAGGTGGTCCAACTAGTGACGTCAACATTTTTTTTTTAGATTCTACTGCTGATTGTCTAATGCTGTAATCGTGTTACAATGATTTTTAGCCTATCCGCCTTCAAAAGCCAATTACAACAAAAATAGGGTTATTAAGTACATTTTTTTAATGATTTTTGGTAGTTTAGAAGCATGCGGAGTTTTTAATTTTAGCGAGAACCTATGAAACTTTTGTACTTCTAAATTGAAGTTGAATGTTTGAGTAAATCCTACTAAAATCTAAAGTTCCAACTTTCAAGCCTTTTTTGAGTAACTTAAAGTAATTGCAGGAAGCTGAGTTATTTTTTTTATTAAAACAACATTCAAGACAATTATGTCACAAAAAAAGACTGCAAAATCGCTAATACGAAAAAAGATAAGAATTTTTGAAACCTCGCTGGCAGAAATCATTAAAAATACACAAAAAACAATATAACTCGAAAACTAAGAAAAAACGCGGAACAAACATGGAGTATTTTTGGATATAACCAGGTGCGAGGAATCTAAAAAAAAAATTGTTGACGTCACTAGTTGGACCAACCTGTATATACTAGGTAAAAAAAACTTATCTTAATTCTAGTTAAACTCCTATATGGGACTGTGACTGTCGTAAACGTGAAAAAAACTGAAATATACAACAGAATGATGAATATCCACATTTTACGGACTCCATAAGCATTAGTCAAGAACGTGAGATCGATTTCTAATACCCTATTCGACATTCAACTTTTATCCAATGCCAAGATATTATTAAACTACTCACATAATTCTATTAATAAAAATGCTTTATTTATTTAGTGGCCTTTTAGGCATGGATTCAATAAATCACTTTGAATCTCTTGGCAGACTAAATCAGAAAGAAAAACCATAATTTTACTAAAATTGTACTTTACTTAACTCTATGAAGAGCTGGGATAGTTGCATAATATGTCAATTTGAAGACGTTAAGAATATTGTTTTAAAGCAATTTCAAATGAGGCATCTTTATAGGATAATTTATCGCAGAACGTTTAAACCTACTAAGGTAGTAATATTATTATTACCCTATAGCTACGGATAATTTGAAGTTACATTTAATTATGTATTTCTTAAATCTGGGGTTAATAGTTGTATTAAAATTATATAGTGTCTGCCAAATATGAGAGCTAAGGTATCATGAGGCATGAAAAAAAAATCTATAGATTTTGGGAAGTAACTAAAGTTACCGATACCCAGCAAACATTTAGTTTTTTTTCTACGACGTAAAACACTGGAGAGCTTGGACATTTTCTTAAAAACAATTATATATGTAAAAGTCCTTCATGACTAGGTACGTCTTAAAGATAACATCTTACATTTTATACTTTATACTTAAATTGTTTCGAAAAATTAATAATAGCTTAATAAAAGAAAAATAAAATAAAATGTGCGTTATATTTAAAGTCATTATTAAACTTATCACTTTAAATGAAACATTAATGTTACTATTTAATTTAAGGTATATTTTTCGCAAACAAAAATAAGCTTCATAACTTAGACACCAAGTTTCATAAATGTAATTAAAGTTAGCTTTAGGTTAGGCAGCAGCCCGTCTGCTGCCTGGCCCGCGTGAATTTTTTTACTAGTAATATTTTGTTTAGATCTAAATACTATAGTCATTACGTTTTTCTCAAACAATGTCTTTATGAATATATATTTTTATAAATATAAATATCTTTTTTTACTATTGAGATCACGGTAAAAGACCCATTCTTATACATATAGGTATACCTACTTAACTGGTTGCAAACAAGTCTATATTTGCTAAGAAGACAAGGAAAGTTTTCTACCGTTTGAATTTTATGAATGTTACAAAAATCATGTATTTCCAAATAACCTAATTGTTAATTTTAGTGTATAAAACTCATTAAAACACTGTGAGTAAAATTTCATGATTCAAAATAAATAGCTTTGCAGCTATCGATAAATGTAATTAATAGCGTTTATCGGGAAAAATAATACGAGTATTTATCTATTTCTCCTTCTCCTACAGTCGTAGAAGATATGAAGATTAAGTCACTATAAAAATAGCATTAACTTACTTATACCTATCGTGTGATATAATATCATCTGACATTTCGCAAGAGTACCTAAGTGTCATAGCTTGTTTATCAGGACACATGTAGAGTTAACACAGCAGTTTAATTTTTTGCGCACACAACCTCACCATAATTCCAAGCAACAAGCTAAGATTTCCTGGTAATTTTTGTTTCCACTACGTAAAATCCCGTAAAGCGAACTTGATAACTAGATACCCAGTACTTCCTCGTAAAACTTGTACGGTCGAACGAGTCTGCTGCCATGAACAGGGTGTCATCTGACCACTTCACGGTGTTGAATGGGCCACCCATTGTAATCACCATTGTTCTGCCCTAATTAGGCTCGCATTTCGCTACAGCATAAATATGGACTCAATCCAGTATTCTGCGAAAACTGATTACATGGATCGCGCCCCGTCGATCGAGCTACCAACATCGACAAATAAAATTGAATTAATTAAATTTATATTTTTTTAAATCTAAAGGCTGACCGCAGGTCCACCTGTTGGGTAGAGTTGTAGGTTATCTAAGTTTTATTATTTTCTGCGCAACTTTCTTAATTATTTATTCCCAAGGAACCTTATACAAGGTATTAGAAAACTGAAAAATAAGAAAAATGTAATCGTTATAGTCTTTCTGAAGGTATAACGTGACCAAGAGAAAATAGTTTTTTTTTAAATATTGATGTTCTAATGCGTTATTAAACATATAAAACAAAGCTTTCTGGACTATTTCCCCATATATACTGTTATTATGTTAAATCTCACACTGCTCCGTACACAAAATGCGCCAAAAAAGGTGTTGTTTAAAATAATCAAAGAGATAATTTATGCATACCAGTTAGATAATTTTTGTTATTACTTTACATACCTATCTTTAAGCATGCATGCATAATAAGGTCCATCTGCAAGCTGGTTCTCGATAACGTTTTTCTAAAACGTTACTTTTCATTCGAAAAAAAATGTTAATAATATCCATCTGGCTCGATGGAAATTTATAAAGGCCCGCAGCGACTACGTTTACGTGCGGGTGCGTTGCAACAATACAATTTAAGACGAATGAACGAACCAGGTAGATATTTTTTTTTATTTCATAATGCCTTCGTCAGTCTGTGGAACCTCATCGCCCATTCACCAGTGCTGCATTGTGATCGCTCAGCTCTTTGTTCTAAGTGTGTGAATAATTTATTTCCTCGTGTGTTTTCCTACCGCTGGCATTCATTCAAGGTTATTAAAAGTAAGGCGTACATACTGACTTATACCTACAAGTTTTACAGAGCATCGAACAAAACTCTTATTACATATATAGTTAGTACTTATAGAAAAAAACTTGAACATTTTAGCAAAGTTAAATTGTATTGCTCTGACTCTAATAGGTTCGTTTTCATTGTATTAATATGTGAAGGGAAATCTTTATATTATTCTAAGTACACATTGCGTATAAGTCAGATTTATATATAATAAAAGTTTATGAAGTTTATGTAGCCCCTTCTCAGGGGATGATCGTATCTAATGAAGCCTGTAAGTGTGTTTTAGTCAGTACTAAAGTTTTTATATAGAAGGAGTGCAGAAAGCTAACATGTACCTATTTATTTAGATTAATTCCTTGGGATATACTCAATTACAAAAATACCAATATCAGGTGCACACTACTGTACGTTAGACACACACACAGTGATTAAAGATGTATGCCAATTAACAGAACCTCAATAATTACGTTCAAACTGAAAAAGGCTGAAATACGGCCCATAGGGGACCACTATTACAGCATAAATAAATAATAATTATATCTTTTTTAATTATAGAACAAGCAATATACAGTAATTTTTACTGTAAAAATATTCAGAATAAATATCTGAATGTAGGTAGCGTCTACCAAATAGATGTCTCACTCTACTCTCAATAAACAACTATTGTTATTATTAAGATGTTTGTTTTATCTCGTGTCTGTAGTTCAGACGTCTTTAAGTGTGATAAAAAAAGGTTTTAAGATCAAATGTCAATCAACTAAGATACAATATGTGTAGTGAATGCAGCGGAGGGTTAAAACCTATAATTAATTAGTGGCATGTATTATTGACAACAGCCATTAATCTGTTTTCGCTACTAATAATATGTAATCTAAAATTAACATAACACATTTTATCTGAGCGAACTCGGCAGTTTACAGTGGACGTTTGTTACGGGCGCCTCAGTGTGTAGCGTAGGTAAATGAGTATTGTATGTATATGCCAGTATGTAGTTAGGTGGTGTGTTGTGTGTGTGACAGCTGCCGTGTGGCGTTATCGGTCGTCCTTGACACACAGACACCGCGTGCATAACGCGCCTTATTGTCGCAGCAACCTTGCCGACCACGCGATAACGTCGTCGCAGCCGCCGCCGCCGCCGACGCCTCCACGCCACTGCCAAAATATATTTGTGAATGAACGAGAACGTTACATGAGCATCACTATTCAGACACTGCCAATCTAAAATAGACAGGCGTGAGTACAAAACGGACGCGTAACGAAAACTTAATTGCGATAACGAGATCCACCGTTCTTTTTTGTATTTCCGTGTTATTCGACCTTAATCGCTGTACGCGATAAGGAGTCGTGTGGTGCTCAGTATAATGCACGGCCGTTGCAGGATGAAAGTGGGTGGCATCCCGGTGGCGCGACTCTCGTCGTCCGGAAATCCAATTCCCGGATGCGGCTGCGCGGGGGGATCTCGCCGGAAGCTTGGTAAACGAGCACATCCGCTGCCGCCGCCCGCGCCGCAAAATTTGGCACCGCGAGCGCTCGCAGCCCGCTTCCGGCCTCCGCCCCCCCGGACCCCTGGCGTCGTTCGCCCGCGAAAATAGCGGCCAACCGCTCCGTGTACGCGGTTCATTCAGTATGGCCGCCTTCCATTCATAAAAAGGCGAGGCGCGGGCGGCGTCGCGCGGCGGGGGGGACGCGGCTCTCCCGCCGGCCCGCACCCGCTGCCGACGCCAGTGCGGAATGTGCCAGCGAACGGAACGGTCGTTTCGTCGGAGCGTAGCGCCAGCGCTCCCGGTTTCCCTTTAAAATGTGTATAAGAATAAGTGCAGTGAATCCGCACGAGTTCGGAACGGTTACGAAAAACGCCGTCGTCGAGATAAGGAGTAGAAATCAACGAAGAACTTCAGCGAGGAAGTGAGTAGCGGCCATATTGCAGTGATAACCGCGCGGCGGGCGGACGAGAATCGAGGCCGGTGCGTGGGCCGCCCCCCGCCCGCGCCAGGTGCCGCTCCGGACCGCGCCGGTCTTACGAACCTTCCCGTGGATTTGCGCGACTGAAATTCGGTGGTTATACCGTAATTTTGTGTGTCAGTGAATCTTCCGGCGCGGTGTCGGAGCGGCCCTATCATCCACCTGGATACGGAGTTCTGAGATGCTCAGTGTTGTGTGTGGGACCTTTCGGTCCGAGTGCCCTCGTGTAACGATTTGTGTAGGAGACGTGTGTCTGTGGAACGTCCCTTTCGTAAGTACCGTGTCATCCGAAGGTGAAATGCCTTGACCGCGAAAGGTAGTCGTCATCGAGTAGATAGATTTAGGATGGAATCAATCTGGCAGAACCATCTAGTTATCTAATAAGGAACACGTAGATTTATGTGGGCTGCAATTTCTCACGCGTTGCGAAGAAATTGAGCTAACATGAATGACGAGCGAGTAGGCCCGCCGTGCCGCCTGGCGACGACACACGTGCGCCACTCACCGACTTCTCGATCACTCTCTGCCATTAATATCTCAAAACGCCTTGTTTCACGAAAACAAAATCATCTTAGGCAAAACCGCTTCATTCGTCAACCTTCAAACTATCATCTTTTAGCATCCAGTAACGTCAATAATAATCAAACTTGAGACATAAATGATAAATAGTTTGAACATTAAGTATGCAAAGTCAATGGAATGGCAAAGGGTTAAATGAAACTAAATTTCGTCAAAACGGAAGAAACGATTCGATATTTTAAAATATAATAATAATACAGCAACCAATGGACGAATTTCGACAAAAGTTGATAACAGTGAACGATGATAACAAGTTATTGTAAACAATGGCAATATAAACTTTTTGTATCTTGTAACGAACTATTTAGATAACGAATATATTTAGACAAAACAAAATAATATCACAAAATTTAACTTTTTTACAATTAATCCTCAGAATGTGGAATCACTATTCATAACGCACGATGAATTTTATATTACATTTATATATCCGGCGTTCATTTTTATCATCACAAATTAGTGTTAATGAATTCAAATGTATTTATAGGAGATTCAACCTCTTAACTACAAAATCAATTGAGTAACAAATTCTCCAGTTGAATTGGACAAGTAAAAGTTGTTGAATGAACATCGGCCTATAAGTTCTTTTTCGTCAAGGTATCGAGAACTATTGGCCGGTGTCACGTTGATGTTATTATAACATAACAAATGACACTAGAAAGGTTTTATTTATCTAATATCTGCGGAACGTTATATCGTCCAACAAAATTAATGTGTAAACTAATATATCTGAAAAATTCCAAACAACCTTATATTAGTTATTTGAATAAGGTAATATATCCCCAATAACAAGTCAATAATATAAAACTGTTCCAATCTATCAATATTCAAATTCTCTATTTGAAAGCGAAAAGAATATTGGTACTTGCACATAATCTCAATTAAAATTGAAGGGAAAATCCGCAAACACTTTACAAGACAGTTAGTGACAATGAATGCCTTGGACTGATGGGAAATCTTTGAAGTCCAAAAAGTAAAAATAATATACACCGATAGGGAAAAAGGTTTTGCCTAACAATGGACGGATGTCTTTGGGAACAAGAAGAGAGCAATATCTATATGCTCGAACAACCGTTCACTGATTTGCTGCATCATTCTTTAAAATGAAAAATGTATTTTTACGATGTTTGAAAGAGCTAGGATTTATTCGACATGAACGAAACAGTCTACATTGTTGAGAACGCATGTGTTGATGCTGTTTTTAGAACTAAATGTATTGCACGCAATAGACTAAAACAACGCTAAATTTTTATTCAAACACGTACACGAAATTTGCAGGTTTACCGGAACATTGTGTGCCACAATAAGTAAATTTAATCAAAAACCCTTTAGAAAAATTGTACAGTACTATGAAAGGAACGTCACTTCGCGAATCGCACTTTTAAACATAAAATTCTAAACATTTATAACTAAAATGGTTAAGTGAGATAAAACGAATATTTAGGTAGATTAGACAATTCAAAATTTACTTCATAGGAATGGCATACGTAGAAATTCTTCGGCAGTTCTGGAATAAATTTTAATTGAATGTTTGTATCGTAAGCTCAGACCCATGAGAATAATCTTTAGTAACTTTTGACGTGACAACGTCTTAAATTAGGTTGCGGCTGGGAGTCACTTATGAAAAAGTGTAACGCTCGGTAACGTTACGATGAGTCTCTCGTGTTAAGTTTAAGTTTACATGTACAATGTTTTAGTAAACAAAATATATTTCTATAGTTAAAATTTGTGCAATTCTTATTTTCATTCAATTCCTTGTTCCTATTGTGCAATTTAATTATATTCATATCAATAAATATTCTACCGAGAAAAAGACGTTGTCACGTAAAATCTTCGCCCGTAAAACCGACTTTACAGGCAACCATTTTTTTAAGAAAACGGAAGTGGGTTTTCCAAACGAATTGGTTTAATAGGTATTAAACTTTATACTGCACTGACATAAGCTTTCGCGGAGAGGGTTAACTTATAGCTGTGCTTTAAAATGATGAACTCGCATAACTTTATTCCTTTCATATACTTGGAAATTATATTTAGCTTGCGTAATTTTGTTTAAGCATGTAATTTTGCGAAAAAGTGTTTTTGTAAAAGATTCCAGAAAAAACATAATACTTTATACAAAATACTTGAATGCTACATACATAATATAAGTATTTAACAACTATTTTCTTAATTTGCTAATCTGAATAAAACTTACCTACATCTTTGACCAATAAATGCTCTTCTCTCTCATATCCTGATACGATATACGTTAAGGCTTGCCATACTTTGCTGCATCAGGTATTCATTTACTATAGTAATCATTATCATCAACTTATATGGTGTCACTGTAAATGATTGACATACTAAACTCAACGATAGTTGAAACCCCGTTAAGTTGACCTTTCATTAATTACTATAAAGCTTAAACACATTTTGATTGCAAAGTCAATAGACATAATTGTATTGCATACTTTTTCGTAATTACTCTACAAAGCAATATTTTCCATTGATACAAATGATACAATGATATTCACTTAATGAATTCAGTTTAGAGTGTACGTCACTGCATAATTTAGAGATATGAACATCCGATTGTCGTTTAAAACCCATCGCTTGTCGACTACCGTTGTAATTATTTTATGAAAATGAAGAATGTCTATAAATGAAGATACATGTTCCATTACGAGTATATTTGCGCATATGTAGTCGGTGGGTTAAGGTTTATAGCATTCTGGTATTGTAAATATTTAAGTGAATTCTAAAAAGTTTAATTCGTACCTTATTTGCGAGTGTGAGTGAGTGCAAGAATATTACCCCGAATTTTTGGTATAGTTGAGTTCGATAATTCGAGTCTTGAATGGATGAGGATATAAGAATGGATGATTGTACAGAAGCTACGAAAGCATGTTGGACGAGCTGTTTTTTCGAAGGGCCAGAAGCCTTTTTACGAACTCTCAATAGCAGGCAATTCTTTTTGGTAGAGCGAAACATCACAGCGGTGTAGTAAGTAGTACATGTCGCTTCACCTGCTGATTTTGTTTGGCCTTAGGAGTTAATGATATTGATTCAGGATTGTAACATAAGTTTATAAGATTGATGAGGAACTTCACAAGTTCTCAATGAATTCATTCAAGGTCTTCGAATCTGATATCAGAAGCTTTATTCATCACCACTTTTACAATATTAGCATTAGAACAGGATATTAACGTTTCTTTTTGATTTCACTTCAGGTGGGGACGATGAGGGAACAGGAAGGCGACGGCCCGGAGAGCCGTTAGCCGGACTCGATGGATGAGTATGGCGGGCCGGCGGCGCCGCCCCGGCCGCCCAAGCCGGCGGCGCGCGTCCACAGGCCGACGGGCGCGCGCCAGCCCACCGTGTCGCTGCTGCGGCCGCGGCCCGAGGCCGAGCGTGAGCGCAACGCCTACGTGGAAGCCCCGCGGCGGTGCGCGCCTCACACCGGCGCGCACGCTGGCGCCGCGCACCTGCCGCTCAAGCCGGTGACGACGCAGCCGGCCGCCGCGCCCGACAAGCGGCGCGCCGGCGCCCTCCCGCCCGACTCGATCGTGTGCGACGCCTGCGGACGTTGCCGGTGCGAGCAGTGCGCGCGCCCGCGGCCGCTGCCGTCGCGCTGGTTGTGCGGCTCGTGTCTCTGCAGCGCCGAGGCGTGCGTCGACTACGCGTCGTGCATGTGCTGCGTGAAGGCGCTGTTCTACCACTGTGGGAGCGGCGAGGAGGAGGCGGGCGAGCCGTGTGCGTGTGGCCCGCGGCTGGCGTGCGTGGGTGCGCTGGCGCTGCCGCTGCCGTGCCTGTGCCTGTACTGGCCGCTGCGCGGGTGTGCGGCGGCGGGAGCGGCGGCGTACGCGCGCTGCCGCCGCTCCGGCTGCCGGTGCCCCGAGCCCCCGCCGCGGCTCTCCAGTATTATCTAGTCCAGCGTGTCGCCCGCGCCCTCCGAAGCGCCGTCGAGCGGCGCAGTCGCGTTGTACAAATATTTATTGGCGAGCGGAGCTTCGGACCGCGCGGGGTGGACTCAGCGATCGCCGCGTCCGGTTCCGGGCCGAGTGCCGAGTGGTGTGTGGTGGCACGGGGCCGACATCGGACGAGCGCCCCGTGCTCACTGAGTGAATCTTCTACGTGTACCTTGTAAATATAGTCGTATAGTGTGAATGTACGTGAACGTGTCGCCCGAACGTCGAAAGTCTCAAATTTTCTTGAGACAGATAACGTGTCATAAGAAAACGTTAACGTTAGTATTTTGGATTCCTCACAAATCCAGAGAAGATTAAGAAATGAGATATAAAAACATACTTATTAAGATGTAGATAATTTACCATTTATTTATTAACTGAATTTGTATTTATTTGTAAATAAAACGACATTATATTATAAATACGAATGTTTACTACATTATGCTTGTTTTTTTGACTTCCTCATATCAAGACAAAACCAGAAAAAGCTCTAGATCAGGGCTTACTTAATTTTACTTACTACTAACTTAATTTTATTGTGACGCCCTTAGGAATCAGCCATTTTTTTTGCGACGCCCATATCATCACCAAAGTACCTACCAGTTGCAGTTGTAGCCTAGTATCAATCTATCAGAAAAACTCTAAATAACATTTTATAATTTTAATAAGTGCAAAAACTAAATATAACAATAAAAGTAGAAAGAGATAGGTAATAATGAGAAATTTAGGCTTGCTTTTCTAAGTATAGCATCTCAAACCGGGGTTCCTTATTTCTTTGACTCTACGTGCAATTCTGAATGCGCTGTTAGCAACATAGCAGATACGGAGCGCAAGGAAAAGAAACGGCTGTATGTACCGACCATGCATTTGAATGTCACAAATATGTATTTTCTATTAAATCAGTTTATAGTAAGTATTAGAACACAATTTGCTTCAAATGCGTTAAATTAACAAACTGATTAGATACCTGTCGAAAAAACGATAGTTTTTTTTCGCATTTTTTTCACGGAGTTCTGCAACGGCAACTTGTCTTTTCAACGGTCCGCGCGTGACTGTGAACCAAGAAGTGCTTCAGTGGAGTTCAAGCACATCATGATTGGGACACATATTGAGCGGACATGGGACATAGGGACTAGGGTATTTAATATCGTTGCTGATACTCCAGGAGGCCATTCGCCTAACGGAAATGCTTTGGAAAACTGAACGCCGAAGGTTTCCAAATACCTCACGCTCATTTTTTTAAATATTTTTATTACCAGTGCAAAAGAAAAAAAGAGCGCTAGGCATTTGAAAACCTCAGGCGGCTAGAAATAACAAAATGAAATCGTAAGCGTTAGCGTTTTCCAAAACATTTCCGTTAGGCGAATGACCCCCTGAAAACCCTGATTCGCACAAGTCTGACGGCTCAAATGTTAATAGAACCTTCAATGCTGCAATACGCTGATGATGTGGTATTCATGAGAAACTTAGCTCCAAAATACAAGCAGCTTATTCTTATCAAATTGGAGTTTAAAGCTGGAATCAAAAGATAATTCTATTAATTTTTCTCCGTCGAAAGTGTATGCCAATCTATGTGGATCGCCTCACGACGCCCCTGGGATAATGTAGCGACGCCCTAGGGCGCCGCGACGCATAGTTTGGGAAACCATGCTCTAGATGATTTAGTTAAATCTGATTTGTGCAAAGTATTCAACCTACCAACGAACGCACTAATGAAATACTCATTACAGCAACTAAAACGCAGAGCAAGTTAACGCACTCAGAAAAAGAACGATACATTTTAGTGTCAATTTCATCTATCTGAATTTGCTCTCTCTCTATCTATATCTTGGATTGAATCCAATTGAAATTTGCAAATTGAAATTTTTCTTTACATGCTGGAGTTATGCAAGAAAGAAATAAAACAATATACCGGTCCAGGGGAGGCCTGAAGTACCTCGGCCTCGCTCCACGGCTGTGCGCCGCTGCAGCCGCACTCGGCAGGGTCCTCCCAAACGTGATGCGTGCCGTCGACTGTACCATGGGGTGATACGGTCGATGGCACTTTATGGAGCTCCGGTTTGGGCTGAGTGCCTCAAACCCCGCACGGTGGCCTTGTTGCGACGACCGCAGAGGACCATCGCGTCCCGGGCCGTGCGAGCGTATCGCACGGTCAGCCACGGCGCCGCCTGCGTACTCGCCGCCGTGGGATCTCGATGCGCAGGTCCTGGCAGACGTGCATCGAGGTCGGGTTGAAGCCAGGGAGCGGGGTGAAAGACCTGTCCCAGCAGAGCTGCGGCAGGTCCGTTCCATCGCGCAGGCAGAGGCCTTGCGGCGATGGGATGAGGCACTCGCCCAAGTGAGCGCCGGCCACCGGACGATTGAGGCTATTTGTCCGGTGTTGGAGGAGTGGGTGGGTCGCCGGCGCGGCGGCCTCACGTTCCGCATGGTGCAGATCTTGACCGGGCATGGATGCTTCGGTCACTATCTGCACCGTGTCGCACGTCGGGAGGAAACGCCGCAATGTCATCATTGCGGTGCCCCGGACGACACGGCCGAGCACACCTTATTGGAGTGCCCGGCTTGGCGACACCAGCGCCGCGAGCTTATCGTGGCGCTGGGATGCGGAGCCCTCTCGCTGCGGTGTATGGTGGAGGCCATGCTCCGCAGCGAGAGGGCGTGGGAGGCAGTCGCCTCCTTCTGCGAGAACGTTATCTCGCAGAAGGAGGCGGCTGAGAGGGAGCGGGAGGATGATCCTCTGGCCGCTCCCTCCCGCCAAAAGAGGGCGGGTAGGAGAGGACGTCGGCGCGCCTTGGCTGCGCCCGTCCCATGACCCTACCTGGGGTGTCCCTCGCTGACCGGCATAGCTACAGCTGTGCCTGCTACCGACGGACCCCATGACGGCAGCCTCCCCTTGTAGTTCTGTCATGCAAAGAGGAGGGCGGCGGAGGGAGCTACATGGGCACGTCCAAGTAGTCCCCGCGATACCCCGGGAGACCCCTGCCGCGGAGCCCCGGCAAGGCCGGGGGATCCCGCGGCTTCGCACTAAGCAGCTTAGAGGGTGTTCGCAGGGTTTTTTAGCGGATATTATGCCGTAAAGCGTCCGTAAGGGTTACTAGGTCCTCAGTGGGCAGCCACTGCTGGGGCTCGTAAGGCTTGCGGGAGCCAGGTGTGGTCCGTTCGGCGGTGTGCCTCTTAAAGGCGCCGTCGTCTGTAAATAGTATTTTTTGCCTGCGTATAAAAAAAGGGGGTAGGGGGGGGGGTACCTATTAGTTTGTGAAGCACTAAAAATTACATTCTAGTGAAGTAATTGAACCTTGCACACATCAATTCACGTGATAATGCAAAACTCCAATTTCTCTCGTATAATTTTTACAACCTTAGTTGTTGGCCCCCGACGACAGTTTAACCTTTCCCAGCCCAATCATTCAAAGTCATTTGCAGTATTTTGATAGTGGTACCTAAAATGACTATTTTTGCTTAAGTAGTTTTGCCAAAGACCGACCTTACCGAACGAGAATATATCTATTGACTAAATATTTTTCATTTAATATTCTTACTGGCAATAAATTCTTTGATGTACATAATTGTATTATATCGGTATATAAAAGTACAAGTTCATCTAGTGTGTAACTTAAATTTTAAATGTTACTGTTTATTATTCTCAAAATATTCGAATTTTGCTATATGGTTTGCTATATCCTTTATGTAAACATTTAAATAAAAATATTGCTTCATACTTCGTACATGTACTCGTAAGCAGGATTAAATGCTAAAGAAAATCGTAAAATACCTACGGCAAATACCTTTAAAGTACGACAGATTTGTTTCAAGAACTGTTTTATGTGAACTTGGCAACTAATCGGATATGGGGTAGCTTCTTTTAATGTTAAAAGGTTGGAAAAAAAGAATTTGCCCGCCTGATATGGTAAGCAGCATCCCAGTCTATAGATGCTTGCGATATCAAATACATCATTCGCGCTGTTGCCTACCCTGGCCCAATCCCCTACCCCGTGGAGCCCTGAAAACTTACTCATCACAGTTACACGTATATGACGATACGACATAATAGACAAATGTAAAGAAACAAGTAGAACTAAATAAAAGAACAGATTCCTATAAATATTTCCACAGAACCTTCTGTACACCTGACTTATTCAGCTTTGTGCACATAACCAATTAACACGAATATGTTAGCGCACTTATGGCAATGTGGTAAGGTTGTTATCTTCGTAGCATGAGGATGTATTTCTACACCCATATGAGAGCAGTTGTTTAAAGTGTAGGCTGCACCGAGAGCGAAGTGATAGTAACTTCGCCTTCTTTATAATTCTTCTTCATTTAGCTCATTATATCGCACAGCATGCACATCTAGATCTAATGGGAGATAATTGAAAGATTTAAGATTTTTAATGAAAAATGAAAGGAAGAAAAGGAAGGAATCCTCAAGTGACTTTTTTATTCACAATCTTCATTCACTAAGCTCTGTTTTCTGGCAAATAATAATACTTTGTTAATTTTTGGTCATTTTTTGATACACGATAACAGTTTAGTTTGAGTATTGTATAAAAGAATATTACCGGATGAAATATTAAGAAAATATCATTCCGATTTATGTCTACAAGAAATTTTATTAATAGATAATAGTAAACCATTAAACTGCAAAGCGAAACAGTCTTTATATTGTTTTAAACTTTCATGGTCACTAGCATTATAGCTATTAACGGGATTGTTTCCATGTACCTTGTTTTTTATGAGTCTCCGATATTTCGGCACTGTTGCAAGCGCCATGATCACGGAGTAACTGAGTTTCCAACAGTGCCGAAATATCGGAGACTCATAAAAAACAAGATACATGGTAACAATCCCGTTAATAGCTATATAAAGAAACAGTCTTTGTATCGCTCCCGGTGTAACTCGCGCCTTAGGAGAGGTGGGTGTATAAATAATGCAAGGAGAGATGCGCCGGCGAGGGCGTCAGTCGTCGCGACGGGAAGCGCGGTAACCATAGTCGCCATCCGGGATACGGCCGGTACCTTCCTCTTCCCTCCATGAATCATGGTTATGAATGGGCTTATTTTAATTATATATCTATTAACGGAAATAACCTTTTTTCTGTCTGTAATTTTTTTTTTCAAACAGAAGTATATATAACGAAAAAGAAAACCGTAAGTAATTTCCGTATAATGTATTCATAACCATTAAGCAATTTGCCAGTAGTTTAAAGTGCCAATGTTAATAAGCGGTGTACCCGTTGCTACTTTTGCTCTTAGATCGGGAGCTGTGTGTGGATGGATCGTTTAAATTGGGACAACAGATGTTGACAGCCGCCGCTGCTTTTGATGGCCGGATGAGGCATGGTGACGTGATAAAAGGGTATTATGGCTCGCTGGACTTAACACAACGGCCGTACAAGAGACGGCACATATTCGGCACAATATCCTTTAGAACTGATCACGA